CACTCCCTTTGTGCAGACCGCATGGTCTTTCTCTCACCCGAACCGACACATTCCTCCTCAGTCCCCCATGCAGTCGACCATCTCCAACGCCCATAATGTGCGCCAAACACGTCTGGCTTTCCCTTGCCAGAACCGAGGCGTGTGCCACGGTCTGGCGGGCTACTTTGAAACAGTGCTCTACGGTGATGTGGAGTTGTCAACCAACCCGGTGACCATGGATGCCAAGAGCGCAAGCATGATCAGCTGGTTCCCCATCTACTTCCCCTTGAAGGTTAGTATTTTTGAAACCTTCCAACTAAACCTCTCGCTTCTGTCCTTCCCATCATACTGACAACCCTCTCCAGACCCCTCTTAGTGTTCCCGAGAACGGTGAGATCGTTGCCACGATGTACCGTCAAACCGATGACCGCAAGGTCTGGTATGAATGGATGGTTGAGGTTTATGCCCTTGAATCTACTGGGGCATCCGCAAAACCCACCCCCGTGAGCTATGCGCAAGCTGGGTCCGCCAGCGTGGAAAGCCTGAAAGCTAAGGAAAATGCCGCGAAGAAGACCCACCGCACCGGCTATCGCCGCGTGCGAGTGGGAATGAGTGATTTGCACTCTAGCATCAAGGATGGCTGCTTAATGTGAAATCTATAAGCCGGAGTTGAATAAAAGTTGTTTGAGCCATGAGCTCCACTATTGTTAACGATTACTATCACGATTACAGTTGAATTTTACCGTTTGAGACCGTCAAATCTGATCACGCGAACAACGCTACTCCGTAAACACTTTGTTCTAGAGGTTCTTGCGAAGTACGGAAAGTACGGAGTACGGAGTCACCTTGCATGTCTTGGCAGGGACCCGATTTTAATCAAACTAACTTCGGGCTGAGCTGAGCAGTTCAGCCCTGGCTGAGGCTGGAAGCTTCCGATCTATAGATTTTCATGTGAGATAAACATATGTCACCCACTCCCTATATTAATGTGATTGTATAGAGTACTCCTTACTTGGAGTACACCCGGTTTCGGGTTCGGCGTTGCCTTACTTAGAGCACACGCGATCTCAGATTCTGCATTGCCTTAATTGCCGGACTGACCGGAATGAAATAATTCCCCGGCTCCACCAATGCCTCCAAATTTGATCTATTTCGTCGATCATTGTATGGAACTGTGCTGAATTCCCTCGTCACGGAGACTAGTATCGTATTTTTATCATATGCCGTTGTTTATTGGTTCCTCTGACAGGAAATGGCTTGCGCAAGTGTGGAACCCATTCAGGAACATACTGTATGAATTTGCCAGGGACGATCGAACATATAAAGCCATGGGTCCCCCTGGCCTCAATTAGGTACCGCGATTGACAACAAGCCATCATGCGTTTCTCTTTATTCACAGCGCTATCTGCAGCGGCATCGTTGGGTCATGCCCTCCCCGGTCAACTGCAAGCTCGAGGTACCATTCCCGCACACATTGATCAGTGCATCTTGACCACCTCGCTCACACCCGGTTAGATGTTTCGACTAGCGAACTGAACCAGTTCGACTTCTGGGTCCAGTATGCCGCCGCGGCATACTATGCCGATGACTACACAGCTCAAGTGGGCGCCAAGATCAGTTGTTCGAAAGGAAACTGCCCCCAAGTGGAGGAAGCTGGTGCGACTGTATTCTATGACTTCTCCAAGTAAGCGACGTCCCCGACACAATACCCGACAAAACAATTTACTTACACATGCACAGCTCCACCATCACAGATACTTCCGGCTTCATCGCAGTAGACCACGCCAACGAGGCAGTTGTTCTCTCCTTCCGCGGATCATACTCAGTGCGCAACTGGGTCAGCGATGCCATATTCGTATACACAAACCCTGATCTCTGTGATGGATGCCTCGCCGACCTTGGCTTCTGGGGCTCCTGGGTGCTTGTCCGCGACGACATCATCAAAGAACTGAAAGAAGCCGTCTCCCAGAACCCCGGCTACGAGCTGGCTGTAGTGGGCCACAGTCTCGGTGCCGCTGTCGCAACCCTTGCCGTGGCTGATCTCCGGGGCAAAGGCTACCCGTCGGCTAAGCTGTATGCGTATGCCTCGCCGCGGGTGGCGAACGTGCCTTTGGCTAAGCATATCACGGCTCAGGGGAACAACTACCGCTTCACTCACACCGATGACCCGGTGCCTAAGCTGCCGTTGCTGGCCATGGGCTATGTTCATATCAGCCCTGAGTATTGGATCACCTCGCCTAACAATGTGACTGTCGGTGCTTCTGATATCAAGGTTATTGACGGAGATATCTCATTTGCTGGAAACACTGGAACTGGTCTCCCATCATTGGAGGATTTCGAGGCGCATAAGTGGTACTTTATGAAGACTGATGCAGGAAAGAATGAAGGGAGGCCGTTCAAGAGGGTTTGATTTTCTTGTCAAATTGTGTTTAATAGATTCTAGAATTGCTGGCTGACATTAATATGTACAACATATAATAAAGAATAATAATGGATATAATTTCCGAGTTATGCAAGGCAACTGAGCAGGATGTGGTCTGAGTTGTGGAATTGTGTACACCGAGGCTATCAATATGATCCCCAAAACTCAACTAAGCACTAATAAGCTTGAATGATAAGCAATTCGCCTATTTCCGGGCTTCAGAAGACGTCGAGTCGGAGATCCGTCGGCTTTAGACCAAAAAGACCCAACTGGGCGATCTTAGTAGTTTCTGGCCGTCCCGTTTGATCCTAGCAATGTAAAGTGGATATCTCCTGCCGAGCGGGGTTATCTGGAATCAATGGTATAAGATATGGCTTGAACCTCGGGTTTGATTGGGGATATCCATTCAAAATGGTGCTATACACGAACGTTTTGTTAGCAGTGCTGGCGAGCTATGCCACGGCACAATTTGTGCCCGCACCCACCAACTTGATCACCAAGAAAGGACATGCCGGCATCAATGTGCGATATAAGGAAGTGCCTCCTGGGATTTGTGAACAAGACCCCAGTGTGAAGAGTTATTCTGGTTACGCTGATGTTGGTGAGGACGAGCATATTTTCTGGTAAGCATTCGCGATAGGGATGAGCCCTAGACATCGACTGACTAGCACAGGTGGTTCTTCGAGGCTAGAAACGGAGATCCTAAAGACGTATGTTCCCAAGGCGTTTGAGCATTGAATCCATTGATCACGTGCACTGACAATAAACAAGGCACCTCTTACAGTTTGGATCAATGGAGGACCGGGATCATCGTCCATGATCGGGCTATTCCAGGAGCTAGGCCCCTGTGGAGTTGACTATGACGGAAATGTATACAACAACCCTTATTCTTGGAGCAACGTGAGCAATATGGTAAGTTTGCACTCTTTGTTTGCCGAGACTCTAGCTCAACTTGTCACCAGCTCTTTGTCGACCAGCCTGCCACGGTTGGACTATCATATACAATCCCGATTCCAGCTTACGAGGATGACGATGGCAATATTATCCAGTTGCCCAGCGAGGAGTGCCCTGATTATGCCCAGGACCTTGGGACATGCGGCACATACTCCAAGCCAGACATTGCCCTAGTCCCTAATACAACTGCACGTGCGGCCCCAAATATGTGGAAGACACTACAAGGGTTCATGGGTGCCTTCCCAAAGTACTCGAGAAATGGCTTCAACTTCGCCACTGAGAGCTACGGGGGGCACTATGGCCCAGTCTTCAACGGTAAAGATCGCAAACACTCCTAGATGCGACTGGCGCTAATTTCGGCCCAGAGTATTTTGTCAAACAGAACGCAAAAAAGCCCCATGGCTCGATTCGGATCGATCTTGAAAACGTCCTTATTGGAAATGGCTGGTTCGATCCGCTGATTCAATACCAGGCGTACTACAACTTCTCTATCTTCCCAGGAAACACTTACGACTACAACCCGTACAACGAGTCGGTGCAGGCCGAATGGTACAACAATCTCTATGGAGAAGGTAACTGCGTCGATCGGACTCGGGAATGTTACGCGACAGGTCGAAACGATATTTGCTCTGCGGCAGACGACTTCTGCGCCTCGAAGGTTGAGTCGCTCTTTGATATCTACTCAGGGCGCGACGAGTATGATATGCGAGAGTTGACACCCGATCCCTTCCCATACGAATTCTACGTCGATTATCTCAACAGCCCCAAGGTTCAAGCCGCTATTGGAGCATACCAGAATTTCTCGGAGTTCTCCGGGACTGTGGGCAATGCCTTCGGAAGCACAGGCGACGACGACCGCGAGTCTGCGACGATAGAGAATGTGAGGAAGTTGTTGGAAGCTGGAGTACAGGTATTGCTGTATTTCGGGGATGCGTGAGACCTCCCATGTGATCAGATGACTAGCCTATGCTAATTCGAGTTCTAGCGACTTCAACTGCAATTGGCTCGGTGGACAAGTTGTGGCTGAGGAGATCAATGCCCCAGGGTATAATCACGCAGGCTTCGTGAACATCACCACTTCGGACGGCGTTGTTCATGGACAAGTTCGTCAAAGTGACTTGTTTAGCTTTGTGCGAATTTACGAGTCCGGCCACGAAGTACCTTTCTACCAGCCATTGGCTGCGTTAGAGGTGTTTGAGAGGGTGCTTTTGAGAAAGGACATTGCAACGGGTAGCCACCATTTGAAGCCACACGGCGGTTATCGGACTCATGGGACCCCGACAAGCGACTACCGAGAGGGGAACAGTACAGTGATTCTGAAAGTGCTGGATAGCAATGCGACCTATAACACAACTCTCAATGGTCCGAACCCATTTAGCTCGGCTTCGGTCAGATTACGCAGCCGGCGGTTGAGAAGTGTTTGAACAGTGTACTTGTGACGCAACTGCGTTTTTTTTGTGAGATATGTTCCATTTCAAAGATTCAAATTAGAAGACAAATGGTATGGTCAAACCATCTTTTCCGTGTCCGAGCATATCGACGCCGCAGTGAAACAATTCCCAGATTCCATTCCTTCGTCCGCTTCATTCCGTTCTCTCTCTTGGGAAGTCTCAGTTCAAGGCGACATGATGACACAAGTAGCGACCTACTCGGTCAGGTCGGCAGTGTCGGCAGGGTCAGCGTCGCTGGACTTCTCCTCCTGAGCCCGCTCAGGCACAGACTTGGCGGTGGTCCTGCGACGCTTGGGAGCTTTATCCGCCTTCCTGAAGGATGTGTCTTTAGTCACGCCACGCTTGGTACCAGAACGGGACTTCTTAGTTGGACCAGCGTTGGTGTCGTCATCCTTGGAATTGACAGCCTGGGTAGGAGACTGCACTTTCACACCAAGAATTCCCTCAAGGTGGTGCTTAGCACGCCAGTAGTTGGTATTGGCGGATGTCTTCTTCATACTAGCGAGAGTGGCAAGCTTCTCGGAGTCAATCTATGAAGTAAATGTTATTAGACAGAAATAGGAGGCATGATGTGAGTCTGGATACTGACCTTGCCATCGTGGCATAGAGAACCATAAATGAGCAGTCGAACATCAGCTGCCTTGAGCTCGGAGAGCTTGTCATCAAGCTTGATAGAGGAAGTCATTTTGTTGGACTTGTCGATTGGATAAGTGAGCGATGAGTCAAACCGGTGATAATGAACGAAAGTGGATGGATGAGAAGCGATGAAGAAACGGTGAGGGAACAACGATTTCAGAGAACCAAGAAGAGAGAAGCATGCAGAGAACAAATTCAAAATAAGAGCGTGCCAGATGTGATGATCGGCGAGAAGATGTCCTACCTATTAGGAATGTATCGTTGTTTCAGTTACTGATTCTTGCAATCTAGGGCATGATATAGCTTGAACGTTTCTAATGTTTAACGCCTGGTATGAAACATAGATTAGCATATATTATAATATTCATCATCTACGCACACTCACGGAACTAATGGGATACTTTAGGACCAAGACCCGGAGTTCTGTGATAATATGGATATGGATTTTACAGGCTGTACAACAAATTGAGGGCTAGAGTTCAGGGCGAATAGGAATTATACTAAATGGGTATACAAGTAAGATAGCAATCAGCTTACTTGGGGGCCCTCTTATACTTCGAATTTCACTAGTAGTATTCACTAAATCACAGTTCCGAGATTGTATGCTGCATGAAAAAGAGTTGGTCTCATGTGAGCTCCTATCAAGATAGCAATTCATTTGCCCAACTTGCAGTATATCTTGCGAAACTATGTAGCTTTCTTTGATCTTAGTGATCAATTTATAAGTTCCGATGGAGAAGGTGATCCTTTATGTGGCTGTGCCAACTACGCTGCCATGCGAACTGCCCCCTAAGCCACATCAGCCACACCAGATATATAAACCCCCAGTACTCTTTCAGGGGATATATGTTTGACTCATCATATGAAAACCATCCTAGATTTCCGATCATATATTCATCAGTCTAATATACCTCGCTAGTCTACAACTTACTCGCCACAGCTATTCACGCCTTTCGATGTGCCCAATACAAGAGTCGGTCAAGAGAAAGGAGACTTTAAATCCTCCACGGCTTTCCTCGGTCAGTGCTTAGAATTGCTTCTAGAGCATTGCATGCTAATTTGTCTTGTCTGGTTATAGGTTATTGAAGATCTCGACACTATCCAGCCTCAGACACGCCATGTTGATGAGGCGCTGGAAAAAAGTCGGGACTATTGGTATCGCCTGACATCACTAGCTCATGCCTATCGGGATCATGGCTTGAATCCAGAGTACACAAACCCTCGCCACATTCTTCATAGAATTCCAAAACTGCATGTACGATCCGAAACAACCTATGCCCGCCCTTATGGAGTTTCTCCTCTTGTTCTTTGCATGCAAGCTTCCTCGACTTGGAAATTAGTAGGAAACTCGGATTGCGACAGCATTGCGAAAGAAAGGACAGCCGATGCTATGCTCAAGGTCGGCACTAGTGTTGCTATTCCCTATAGTTTCGAAGGGAATGCCTTCAATTCTTGGATTGGCACAACGGAAGAAAAACACACCGGTCCAAACTACTTGGGGATCCTGACAATTGGATGGTGTTATGTACTCTCTGCACGATTTGTTGAAATTCAAGGGGAGGGTGCTACTATGCAATATACAGCCTCCAAGATCGAACACTACGATGAAGACTCTTGCGATCTGCCAGAGACTGATATAATCGATGTTAGGGCAGCAGATGAAAATATAACTCGGTGGTGGTATGCAATACTAGCTCAACGAGAAGGGTGGAAAGCCACCGCCACGAATTTCTCGCCCCGTGGGCGGTGTCACGGACATGCAATACACGTTTCGCTATCAATCAGAAGGGACTCTCGCCAACCTCCTCATATACACCCTTAACCGCAGAGAAAGCTTTTGATGTTCTAGCTGAGTTTGCACATTTCCATAACCTGGGTAGCCAACTTCCTATCGCGCTTATGACAGCCATAACGCTCCCAACACATGAATACTATGGCTCGACTGTCCAACTTCCCTTTCCAAGAGCATCTGGTGGTCAACAATCTACGACTCCCATAGATGTTATTCCATCGCTTTGGTCCAGTTTATACGAAGAGCTGCCCTACTACATGACTTTGAGCTGTAGTCCGGAAGTAGTGCTATCTACTCTTTGTGGATCATTCTGCGAGCCCGACGTCCCATGCAATCTCGTCGCTCCCTGGCTGCATCCGCTTTTCGAAGAGATACTAGCTGAGACATCTCCCACGGGTAGCCACGATTACGAAGTACTTGCTCTAATCGGTGCAATACGTCGACCTAATATAGGTGCTCTTTGGATTGGAGCGGTTGCCGGTGGGCTAACCCCAAAAATCATTCAAAAAGTAAGAAAAGGCACGTCTCCTATTAATGCACTTGGATTTCCCTGGACTGGCTGTCTTCAAAGCTTCATGGATATTCCAGGTTCGGGTCCATACACGCATGGGAAGCCTGAGCACATCTCAAGGCCAGACGTATGGCGCTTACTACATCTTCCTCAAATCGAGGATGACGAGCTGTTATATGAAACCAGGCCTCAAACACCTTGGGCACCCTGGGGGTCGTGCTTACCAAAGGATTGTGCCCTTCGAGTTACTACACACTTGAAATGCGCTCGACATGAGTACCAATACCACCATTGGAATTGGAACTTAGAAGAAGGCTCGGTTATTCAGGACCAGGGGTTTTCAATAGCACCCCTTTCGACGGTTACCGAATGTCCTTCCGATATGATTGGTATCAGGGAGCAGAGAAGGTTCCCTACGAGGGAACTTGATCAAGAGGCTTCCGAAGAAGCCACATTGTATGCCTTCCTTTGGTTTGGCATCAACGGAGAGGGTAAACCGTCGGAAACTATATATGAAGATGCCTGGCTCGAGGGCATTTGGGAGGAAGATGAATATGATTGGGAAGACGAGGCTGACGATCAAGACTCGAAAGAGCCTGTTGGTCAACTTGAAGATCGAGTGAAAGCCTGGCTCAATTCAGTCGGCTGACCAAATTTCAGTCTTTCAAATATGGTCTTATTGAATATATTCACCAGCCAGGTGCACATTGAACTTCTTGCCAGACCCCCAACTCTAGCGTAATGCTCTAGTGTAATGAGTAAGCTTCTGCAACTGACTCCTAGGCGCACAGACAGTACATAAGGACGAGCGATAAAACGGCAATTCCCACTAGAGAAACAACGCCTATCCTAGAAGTAGCGGCCTTTCCCAACAATGTACTGATAAGATCAGATCACCAGATGCCCCTTTCAGAATACCAAGAAAAAGCAAATATAGTGTTACCATTTTCAAAGCGGTGTGATAATAGGCTACTTGTTGGTAGGCGCTGTCGGGTGGCGCAATAAGGCGCTTCGCCAGGTTGCCGCTTCTAAGAGCAGACTTTGCGTGCGCGTGTGCATATGTGGGCCACCGAAACTAGCCTCATGCAAGGGATGTCACAAACGGCGCGTATAAAATTCGAGTAATTAAAACCGGCCATGTCATAGTATCGCGGTGCAATACCCTGACATTGGGAAGGTCGTTCGTACATTTAATCGATAGATCCAACCTACAAGGCTGCACGCATTCCAGATCGTAACGGGGCTATTTCCCAGTGCTAACACGTGGAGGAGCTCTTTGAGCAGACCATGTTGTACATCAATGTAGAGACTATGAATACAAGTATTCAAGGACTTGGGGAATTTTTGTCTAGATCCTAATGGGTACCGTAATAATGTGATTATTGACAAGACAACCTCACGAGGCACCGAGATCGCGATTCGTGAATAACGTGCAGGTAGTGCGTATTCTTATGTAGAGTCTTCAATAAAGGAGTTCAAATTAAGTTAAATCAAATTTGTCTCATATTAACGCATTGTCATGGTATCATATCGGCTGAAGAGAGAGAGAGAAAAACGCTAAAGCAAATCAAAAGCCCAAACTAAGCGTATCAATTACTAGTATGAATAATTCTCAACGGTTGTCGGACGGGTGGTTCATCTGCACTGGATGATCCTCGTATTGGAAGTGGTGGGTGGGAGGCCATGAATAGAGCGGTAGTTGGTCCTGAAATAATTATCAGCATTTGTGTTCTTGCTGGAAACGGTTTTAGATTGCACTCACTAGGCTCTCGATCTTTGTCAACGTAGGATCGATATCAATATCAGAGCTCCAAATCGAGGGGTCCGTCTGCTGGTAGGGTGTCGAAAAGGCTTCGGGCTTCAGGATGCTCCGGAGGTATTGATCGATGGCAGTTACCGTCTCTACCGGCATGCCCGAAGTGGGATATTGAGGATTCGAAAGGGACTCGCTCGCCACGGGTGAGCTGCATATGTCGGTCGTATAGGAATAGGGGGATGGGTGGTCGTGAGCGGATGCGGAAGATTGGCTCTGGCCGCTGGAATACTGAGGGTATGACATTGAGGAATCCATGATTCCCCATATCCCGGGATAACTGTCGGTGGTATCCACTTGAAATGGAATCGGAGGTGATTTGGCTGGTTGCGACTGCATCTGTTGTTGCAGGCTCGACTGGCGAGATGATCTGTCACTGTGGGCGTATGATACGTTTTCCTTTGGTGCTGAAGTCGCACTTGCATCCAGGTCAGTCCACGGATTCAATTATTGTCAACTGCTGGGGTATTACTCACTGTTGGGCCAAATGCTGGGTCAAGTAATCCGGACGATGGTATGCCTTTTTGCATCGTTCGTATGTGCAAGGGTATTGCTTTTTAGGATCATGGCTGAGCTCATGTCGTCTGCGGTGTTCAGCTCTGGTAAAGACCTGTGTCATGGTGGTAAGCGAGATGATTCATTGGCAATATTAGAATGGTACATACCTTCGAACATCCAGGGCGCTGGCACGCATGGACTCGCTTGCCCTTCATAGCCTTGCTCACCCGGTGAGAGTTTTCTTGTGGGGGCGAAGAAACATTAACGGGAGGACTGGGATAATTCACCGTTTGGCTTGCGTTGTTATTGTGGTTGGCCAATGTTGAGGGCATGGGAGTAGGATATCCAAAGCCGAATGGCGGCGTAATGGAGGCAGTAGATGTTGTGTTGAATGTGGACATATTGTAGTAAAGGAAATAAGCTCTTGTATGGCCAATGCGGCTCAATATGCCACCCGGGACGAAGTCGCACAGCACGTTTAGACGTTGTGGAAGTCGTACGAGCACGAGTGGGGAGATGAAAGAAAGGTAAAAGAAAGGTATATGGGAAAGGGGGTTAATAAGACTTTTATTAATGCCAACAGGCCAACAGTTCGATGGGTGGGTGTGTCGGACGGTCTCGGTCGTGTTGGATGCCGATCTGGTGCCTAATCCAAGGTTATAGGTACATGGGAAAGTCGTTTTCGAAATTAAGCGCTTTCCCGTCTTTTTCCACCGTGTACCTAAGAAGGAGGAGGAGATATCCATAAAAATGATATTTCAGAGGACGGTCGAAAAAACACCGAAAAAACCAACGCGATGACAAGTCCGCATAATCAGCCTACTCTTCTTGTTAAGAAAACAATTAAGAACCAAGCTAATACTAAATAGTCCGTAAAGAAAAAGTCTGAAACGACCCAGAGCACGCCTAGTGATCATAACTTTCATCTAGCGGGGATCTTTTGGGGCCAAAAGCGGCTGAAGCGACGTTCGGTGATTTCCGATAATGACGGGCATCACCCCCAGTCAACAATCAGAGCCTCAATCTCCTGGATCGGTCGCCCACGTAGCTGAGCTGGACATCTCTAAAAATTCATCTTATTGGGTTGTGATACGACCCACTAGGTGTGGATCATTGCGATGTAGAGCAAGCGGCATGACATGTTACAACAACCCGGCAGGCTGAGTCGAAATTCAAACCAACCAACACAGAAGTATATATGTGATTGGCTCAAGTACACTCTGGTCTAAAAAAAGGAAAAAGAAAAGGTGCGAGTCGATGTGTACCCGAATGGTTTTGATTGAAGAGGCTCAACACGCCCGAGACCCACTTCTCTCACTTGGCGTCGAACCTGGCCAATAGAACGTCGGCATTGTATCCACCTGGGCACCGATCCAGTCTCCAGTCCGACCTTGGGCACACGGGTGGCTTCGATCACTCTACTTTATATGCACTGACGGACTTGATGCAGCGTAGGCGCATTGTCGCATGTCACTTTGAAATGAGACCCGGGGAAATCTAGCTTTGGAGTGTTACATCGAGAAGCTGCGGTCTTAGTACGTGGGGTTCGTACGTGGGGTATGGTGGGGGCTAAAGCATATTCCCGGCAAAATTATTTGGAATTGGGAAATAGTATCTTGAACTTTTGTTCGGGTGTGCCTTGCCAATTTAGAAGCGGGGCAAAGGCTTCAAGCGGTGGTCAGTGCACATAATACTTACAGTTGACCGTTCGTCTGTTGAATATTCATTTAGACGGGATATTAAGTAGTGATTTCATTAGCCACGGGAACTGGGGGAGAAATCTAGATAGTGAGGATAGCACATGAATTGGACCAGCGTGTTGCATTTTATTGAGACGCTAATCAGGTCGCTCACTGATCAGGCGCTCAGGGGTTCAATTCTACTCAGTGATCAAAAAGCGGCGAGGGTGAGCACTCAAACGGAAAGGGAAGACCAGGAAATGGCATAGATTGCTTTGATATCAAATTAACCAGAATAATGCATCGTCAGACTAAGTTCGCTTTTCCCCGTTTCTTCGCATGTAAATCTGTCAAGGCCCAATTTGCAGAGAGATAATCAATGGGCGAATCGGAAATCCAGTCGCTTATTTCCTTCGTCCTTAGTAGTCGCCAAATAGTTCGTTTTTTCGTTGTCCGTCATAGCGTTCCATTTCTTGTCCCGGCTTTGATTGCGCCAGACATAGTATACCTTGGTCAACAAGTATATGAACACATTGGAAACAACGAGTCCCACCAAAGTACCATTGCCTCTTCGGTAGCGGGGAGCATCATCTGATCCAAATTAGAATACCGAGCAAATTCAGAAAAGATGAGGAATTTCATGACATACCAGCGCGATAGATATTAGAAGCAATAATCCCCGACGATTGGACACACATGTTATACATGGCAGCTGAGACCGTGCGGGATCGGACAGTGTTTGAGTTGCGTGAGTTCCAGTTGACTTGAATAGCATGCGCTGTGGTTTTGTGAGCCATGATTTCAAGCAGGTTTGAAAAGGTGAGCTTACCATTTGGATATGACAGTAGCAGAGTTATCACCGCCCACACACACCACTTGTTCGCGGTGTTGATGTCGATCACATATAAATAGACCAAGAAAGGAAGCATCCATATTTGCCCGATCGTAGACACCAAAGTCAATTGGTTACAAATCTCCGATGCATATGTGAGAAGTAGAAGGAAGATAATAGACAGCACTTCACTAGGAATAACCAAGAGATTTGTCACGAAAGTGCCGAATCCGAGGCCTTTCAGAGTCAGAGTTAGGTATTGCTTGGGGGGCACCACTGGTGTTTGGAAGGTAAGTCCGATGATGTATAACGGCCAGAGATCATAGTCCTTGAGACTTTTCCAGAGTAGTTTGGGTGTAATAGGTTCTCGGTTGTGCATGGTTCCTTTGCTTGGGTCATCACGAATTACTCGATTGACGATGATGGTTTCCTCTCTGTCAATCCTGTCAATAACGATTCGGTTTGCTATAAAAAGGGAGATAACTTACCGGGCAGTGAACCAGCCCGATTTACCCCGAGACCAATTAGCAGTCTGGCATGGTCCTGGTGGCATCAGGATATATGCAGATAGACCAAATAGAAGTGTCAGAAGGCCCTGTCTTCGATGTGAGTAATGTGCCCATTGGAATTAAATTTAAATGAGGTGGCTACTCACCTCCAGCAAGAACAGCCAGCGCCATCCCGATTGACCTTGCACACCACGAAGATGCAAAAATCCGAATGCGAGAAATGCAGCAAGAATATCCGCAATATTCATGGCCGTCCAAAAGAAACCGAGTCGTAGAGACAGCTCATGGTGTTTATAAAAGTAGGACAGATACAATATCACCTTTGAGTCTGTTAGCAATGACCTGTAACCAGAACACGAATAACCTACATCTGGGATAAACCCGCCTTGCAAGATACCAAGCAGGGCGCGGCACAAGAGGAAAGTCGTTCTTCCATTCAGACCATACTGTGCCATGGCAACTGCAGACCAAAGAACCATTTGGGTAGGAATCCACCGATCAGGTCCAACCCATTTGCTGACGAGCTGGGAGGGAAGCTCGGCACTGAGGAATGAGAGCTTGAACACCGTATTTCCAAGGTTGTAGTCTGGAGATAGAAAATATTCTTGTCAGCCCTGGAATATCATAAGATAAAAAGATAACCCTGATTCTTTATTTACCATTTGTGGTCATATTCAACTCGGGAAGCATGTTGTCGGTTAGTGCTTGTGACAGATTCGACCGATCCAACTCCAAGCACATGAACATAAGACACGCAAATACCATGATACGGAGATCGATTTTTCGGATCAATTTGTATTCCTCGTTCCATGTCCACCGAGCCGAGGTGTCAAATCGGTGAAGATTCTCCCAGTCGGCTCGAGGTTGATATTCCTTCGCGGTGTCCGGGTTGTCAAAAACGGACGGCTGAGTCGCAATTGCTTCGGGGTTGTAGTCTTTGCCTCGCTGAAACCAAAACCGACGTTCATCTCCTGGCTCACCCAACGGTGGGATGTCAAGACTGGTAGATGAGTCTGTATCTGTCCCTTTGAGTACTGTTATAGACTCATCCGGGCCTTTCTTTGTGCTGTATACAGTGGACATCTTGACAATCCAAAGCCACTGTGGGTGAATTGTCAGAATAATGGAACCTGTCGTTCTACCTTTGGATTATCTGGGCTCCTTTTATACATCCCTGCAGTGACGATCCAATCGGGGTATATTGCCTTGAACATGAATTTGCTGATAAGAGACCACTTGACACTGGCTTGCATCATGAAGCCAAGTATGGAACAATTCTTCTGGTGTGTTGTGAGAGGTTCGGGTTCAGGGCCAAGAAAGGTCAAGAGGGTTAGTGGGAATGGCATCTTGATGGCCGAATATCACATCATTCTGTCGAAAACCACATCTTGCCCAGTCTAAAAGTAAACTATAATTATGTGCAAATCAGCTGCTGAGGTCAATTGAACAGCTACGTTTGCCGAGAAAGACAAATTGTCAAATGCCTTGAGATTATTTTGTTTCTCTACAGAACTTCTCATCAGTGAACGGCACCACAAATAAAACATATATGTCATATTGATCGCGGCGTGGAAGTCTGAGACCAGTTATAAGGCAGGACCTTATCCATTGTAGCTACTTCATGATGTCGTTTCATCGGTGATGCGAATTGGAACCCTCAGGAGCGATTTCAAGAGATATTGACAGACCAATCAATCTACGCGTCTAAGATGGACAGCAAGTCCAGAAAGCGTGATTTTGCCTTTCTTAGTCTTGGTAACGTCTAAATATATTATCCACTTCGATCCTATCGTCCTTGAGTGGCAAGATTCATATTATTCGAGATTTGGTGGGCGCCCTATATCAAAAATGGGGAACAGGGCAAATCTCATCCTTTAATCTCAGAAGATTCATGCGAATAATAGAAGAGCTCTCGACGGATATTTAGGTCATTTGAGTATGACTTCGCTGTTCACCAAGTCCACCTTATGGTATCATTAGCACTGTCCGTCGTCTTCAGGGGTAACCATACTTCTTCAGCTTTCTAGTTTATATATCAATTGAGAGCACGCTAGGTAAAGAGTTCTATAAAATTACGGAAAGGCTTCAAGAAATTATCCGCGGATCTCTTATCGTGACTCAAGATCTAGCTCCCAGACTTCTTCTGCGCCTAGAGGCTCCCTAGGGACTTAGACCACATAGGTGATATAACTTCCGGAATGATACTATCTTCGCCTTGCTTTCCCTCTTAATAAGCAAGGAAATCGGGGACAACATCGCATTCCAATTTCTTGAGCGCTTTCAAGGTCGTCAACTCAACGTGCGACTTTGGAGCCTGATTTCATCGAATCTGAGGGCTCTGATATGAGTACAATAACAGGAATTTAAAGATAGATTTTCCTTGCGATGGCAGAGAAAATTAGCAGCTGCAAGCGGAAGTCCAAGGTCACTGGTAACATCCTGCTGCGTCGTCAATTAAGATCGTTCAGAGAGCTTATTATCGATGACCCAGGTTTGGCGGGGCAGGTGGAGAGGCGGCTCGGATGGTGGATCGGGAGTGACGTCCGTGCCTTCGAGGCCGCACAGGAACGAGGCAGTTTCGGGATTGCTCATGCTGACCTGATGGGTTTTGCAACGATGGATGAACACATTTTTTGGCGAATGAAAGCCTAGTAAAGCCGGGGTTTGGATAGGAGTGAAGAAGACGTTGTTGACGGGAAAAGTGATCATCCCTAACCGGGGTACATAGTCCATCGGCTGTAAGCGTTGGTTACTTCCCTCTTTGTTGCGATGGGCCGGACCCTACATGGCGTGCTTGAGTGCGGAGTAGATGTGCATATGTACATCCAGCCAACAAATAGTGAAGGAAAATAATCTAGAAGTCCAATTAGTTATTTCGGATTGATCAGATTCAGCACATCTTCCGGCTTTAACTACTGTAGGAATAGTGTCGTTTGTAATCAAGATTCAACTATGTTGCAACCCCTAGTAGATATGATCCCATCACGGTGACATTTCCAGATGGCGGCATGTCAGACAATTCCTGGGGGAAATGACGAATATCAATTGTGACAGCACAAGTTGACTGTTATCTATCAAGAAGATCAACATCTAAGACGTGCTTTCGCTCTAACTGTGCGACAGCAATGTTCCAGAACTGCGGGGTTACGATAATGAGGGCTGGGCACCGCAGCAGACAGATGTCGCAAGCGGATAATCGGCAATACCCAGTACGTCACGGAGTATAAGATGGATACCTGGTCCTAGATTTCACCTTCTAGCATCAACAAGCACTGCCATCCAACAACTACCGTATCCAACACCTTACCATGGCATCCGCTGTCACCCAAACCGCACCTACAGTGGTTCCCGTCGTGGAGGACAAGATTACGCTCACGGGTCTCGCACATGAACCTCTCAAGTCCAGTGGAACTCTCGATGCTTTCGAATACTTTGATGTCACTCCAGTCATTGGACGCGAATTTCCCAATGCCAACTTGAAGGACTTCCTGCGCGCCCCCAATTCCGATGATCTGCTTAGGGATCTTGCCCTAACCAGTAAGTCGCATCCGTGGCTATGCGTGACAGATAGAGCTGACATGATATCTCAGTCTCGCAACGAGGAGTGGTATTCTTCCGGAAGCAGGATGGTCTAGACAATGACCTGCAAAAGGAGCTTGTCCAACGACTTGGTGAACTCTCAGGCAAGCCAAGCACATCTGGACTGCATATCCACCCAGTAGCAAACTCGGGTCGGGAACACAGCGTCAAGGACGATGAGATTAGTGTGATCAGCTCCGCAAGCCGGGAAAAGCTGTACGAAACCAGAAACCGGAAACAGACTGCGCGCAGAGAGTGGCACAGTGATATCACCTTTGAGCCCATTCCTAGTGATTATACTCTCTTGCGTCTTACAGAGCTTCCGAAAACCGGTGGTGGTGAGGCCCCATTGCGTCCTCTCGATGAAATAGTCCAGGGACACTAATCCTCTTCTAGACACATTGTGGGCCTCAGGATACGAGGTTTACGATCGCATCTCCGAACCATACCAGAAATTCCTGGAGAGCTTGACCGCAACCTATGCGCAACCCGGCTTCAACGAAGTTGCCAAGCGCAACAATTTCACAATCCACCTTGGTCCTCGTGGTGCACCGGAGAATGTCGGAGAGGATCTCATTGCTGAGCACCCTGTCATCCGTACCAACCCTGTCACTGGTTGGAAGAGTGTCTTTGCGGTCGGCGTACACGTGCAGAAGGTCAATGGTGTCTCCGAAGAGGAGAGTCGTCATCTTCTCGACTGGTTCGTATCTCTCATTGTTGAGAACCACGACCTGCAGGTGCGCAATCGCTGGCAGAACCCTAACGATCTCGGTATGACCCCCGTGAAAATTTGTGATGGCCATATCTGACTGTTGGTATAGCTATCTGGGATAACCGATCGGTATACCACGCAGCGACTTGGGATTATGACGGTCTCGGTCCACGCACTGGACATCGTGCTGTCGGCCTCGGAGAGAGACCATATCTGGATCCCAAGAGCACTGGAAGACGGGAGGCACTTGCCAAGAGCGAATAGGTTTTTTTATAATCCGCATTGGACAATCGGCCTATGCAATTTAATGAAACTTTTGTTCTTGAACACGATTCACAAGTGTGACACATAGTATCCTATGATCGTTAACGTATACATATTCATCCAACGTCTACATGCATTTCCTTGAGGTTATTCATGCCCTGGCACAATCAACCCATGGATCCACTTCAGGCCCTGAGACGCCGGCTGGGAGCTGACAGATGACCATACCATGCAAAACAGAGACTATTCCCAGGGCTACATAGGAGGTAAATCACCAAAAGACAAGTTTGCGTCCCGGGTTCTAGAACCTTTCGGAATGATACTTTCTCCCAGCACTCTCATGTTTTCTATCCGTACCCTCCGGGGGGAAGTCACGTAAATATGGGCCTTGGTACCTCCTGGATTGAGGAAGAGTGAGCAATGGCATGGATCTGGCTTTGGCTCGCCAGTTCCTGTCACGGTGGTTGAATCGTAGCCCCTGTAGAATAATTAGGATACTTTATGAATGTGATCGAGCCTAGGATTGAATATGGCCTCATACAAGATGCGGACAGAGGTTTTCCCTATCCTTCGAGCACACGCGACAGCCACTTGCTCGGTGGCACTCTTCAATACATTCAATTCCGCCTGGTAGGTTGCAGCGCTTCCAGGTAGGTTGAAAATTGCGTTTGGGCTCCAAAAGAAACTGATGCCGTCAAGGGTACCCGAATAGGACTCGGCGGGGATGGTGTTCTGAAGAGACATGGTAGAGGTGAGAATATTCACGAGATAAAATGCCTTGGGTCTTTTGGATGTGAAAACAGAGAGTCAAGATTGATGGTTCCTCTTAGATGATGTCTCCAACGCCTATATATATATATACAGAAAGTCTAGCCAGCAGGGGCCGTTGAGGTCAAAAATCAACCCCTGCTACTTTCCCTTTTAGAGATACGTTGCATAGCCAATGGAACGCGCCGTACTTGAAGATCATCATGTCAGAGCTATCAGAGAGCTCTTGCTTTCCAATCAGTTTAGTCGCGCGGTACTACGGAGTACAAGTGTTTCATATCTCAAGAATAAATCATTCAAATGCCAGAGGATTAGTCTTATTGGGTATAGCTTGTTTCGCGTGCTGCTTTGATAGTGCAATTATGCTCGTAAGCGCTAGGACAGGACAGGCCCGAGTTTATTTCTGTCAGTACGTATGTATTGCTACATATTAATCTATTTTTATCTTGTTTTATCTTATTTTAATTTGATCTCATTAGGTTTTTTTTTGACTGGGGGCGGATCGGCATCACATGGCTGCGAGTAACTTTCCTCTGCGGCTGTTCGTTGGAGAAGACACGATTTAACTTTCATTTCAACGTTGTCTCCGATTAATGAAAGGGTTCTCTAAACGCCCAAGGATGTAAATGTGATTGTTAGGGTTCCAAGTCTCAAGAAAAGGTCGATTCAAAATTACACAATCCCTGGGACCACGACCATTTTGAATCTGAAAGAAAAAAAACCTCACTATTAAACCGATTGCTCGCTGACTTCGGGGGCATTGAATCGTGTCATTGGTTGTCCCTTAAGACTGCCAAGAGAATCATCATGTTTCAGCGAAGCGCCACTAGTTCTCACAAGTATGAACAGAAGCGGCAGGAATTAAAATAGACAGCGGTGATCCTGGGCCCAAGCGAGTGGTGACATCCAGAAAGAGGGGATTTTGGGCTCAGCGCATGAAGTTGATAATTTGGGAGCCAACTATCACTGGGCGGTGTGACGAATTGGCACTTATAGCCTGGTCTCCTTCCTAGACTCACCAAATCTTCTCATTATTCATCCACTCTGCCATCGACACATTCATCTGAAATGGCCAACACTGAAGCTTCCCCTGAAAACACGACAGATTTTGGCGACTTCGTGAAGGATGAAGAAGAGGAACTTGATCTCGAAGAGCTTGTTGAGCCATGGTATAGGTACGACACAGAGGATAACCAACATGTCCTCTATCCTATTCACCTTGGAGAAGTGCTCAACGAGAGGTACCTGGTTGAACATAAACTTGGCTTTGGGGGTGGCTCGACCGTCTGGATGGCATTTGACCTACAAGACAAGAGAAACGTGGCCCTTAAAGTCATGGCCCTAGGGGAATGGGCTGATAACGAGACTCGAATCCAGGATGAGATTATCAAAACGGTACAGGATACTTCTCGCCTGGTTATATATACTGCGACTTTCTTTCTACCCCGAGACGATAAAAGTTGCCATAGGGTCTTGGTGTTCCCTGTGAAAGGGCCATCCATCTGTACTCTTACCTTACAAAAGATTCCCATAGCCTCTCGCATGTTTGCTGCTCAGCAATTACTAGAGACTGTGGCAAGCTTACATCAAGCTGGAATCATACATCGCGGTGAGTCGACATTCTCTTATTTGGTTTTTTTTATACTAAGAAAATTGTTATAGATTTGAGTTCAAGGAACTGTATGTGGGGAATAGCTCCTTTCGATGATCTTAGCAGAAGCGCTAAGTATGAATTACTCGGTCGGCCTTTGAAGCAAACAATACCATTTGTCGATCTGTGGAAAAAGGGCGAGCTTGTGAGCCCTGTCAAATTTCCCGAAGACCGTCGCACAGATGAATTCTATCTCTGTGATTTTGGTTTAGCACAGAAAGTTGGCGATCTCACTACCCAACATGGCTGGCCACCTATGCATTATTGCTCTCCAGATCGACTTCATAAGCGAGAGCCAAGTTTTGCTTGCGACATGTGGAGCTATATGGCTATTTTCTCTATGCTCTATCTTGCATTTCCTCCATTTCCCACAGGTTTCGAAGGTGGAGTTGTGAGTGCTATGGTTGAATGCTTAGGCCCACTACCTAAGCAGTGGAAAGGTCTCTACAAATACTCCGACGGCCTTGATTCGTGGTATGATCAGTCTCAGTCTCCTAATCCAAAGCATGAACTTGCTGCGAAAATTGCGTATTTCCGTCCCGATTCTGATCCGGTCGAGCGGCAGCATGTGCTTTCGATCATGTCGAAAGTCTTTATCTACGACCCAGAAAAACGGCCGACCGCAGTAGAACTTCTGCGAGATCCTTCATTCAGGGCCATCATGGACCGGTACAAGTGCTGAGACTCGAGCACTTGAAGAGCATTTGCATTTTCCAGCCACGGAGTGCGAGAAATGGTCTGCCTGGATTGAAATAGCCTGAGTCAAGAGCGGGACGTGATGAGCAAACAGGTGTCGAGCGCGCTGCTGCCCCGTTAGCTGCCACCGAAGTCAAGCCGGGATCCCTCGCGAGTCCTGCGATGCAATCGGGGCCACCTTAGTCTCAGCTATCAAAACACTGTCGCTCCAAGAATACCTGAGCATCTATCGTCCCGTCTAGTGATAACGATAATCAGCACGTGGGCTATTTCAGATTTGTTTCCACGGACAATGCCGCCAAGACTAAGCGTGCTGCCGAGCGCAAGGGTAATATCGCGAATCACTACTCGATACATGAAAAGACCAGGGGAAAAAAGCATCAAAGTACAACATAATACTATTATCTGAGGCGCCTCGGTCCAATTTTAGTACGACTGTTTACCCAGTGCCGTTACCGTTCTGACTCCTCTCAATCTCTTCTCTTCCTGGGTTCTCCCTTCAACAGTAGACATGCGTTGTAGTACTTTGCTGTGTTTATCCAAGAGGAGTAATCTTTTGTTCAATCACATCCCGACCCACCATATAAGTTTTGGCTACTTTTATGTATACATGAGCTTGATCAAGTTTTATACAATCCAACCTCCAAAGACGTCGGATAAGACGATCTTATCATAGAAACTCCCGCGGGGTCTTATTGGCTGATAAGCACCTTTCTCGCTGGCTGTTGCCTCGTTTAAGATAAGCATAAAGCATGCCACTCCCAGGTCCACATATAAATGTCTGGTGAGCCCGACGAAGTAACACAAAACGATTTCAAATTCATTATCCAGACACATACAACATAATGCATCTTGCTATTCCTCCCACTCCTATTCGCAATCCCGAAAAGGGCTTCAAAGCACACCCTAAGAAGACACGAACTGAGTCTATCTCAGCAATTGAGACCGAATCTGCACAACCCTCTTCCGATGGCTCGTCAGAAAAGTCCTTTCGATCCATTATCAAAGGTGAGTTATGTATGGCTTATTTTTCTACGTGCGCTTACTGTATCATAGCCTTTGTTTCTCGCACCAGAATGTGAAGACGGCGGTATCTGGCAGACCAAACATGGTCTTTGATTGATTTACTTTCTTTTGTTATATATCTGGCCTCTGACTATACCTTATTTCCCTCTCGCTCTTGTGGACTTCTCATTGGTGTGTGTTTCGACAAGTAATTACTTTACTCCTATCATACTCGTTGGGCCTTTTTATCACAATTCAGTGCATAACCTACCCCTTCTTGCCAAAGACCGGGTATGTATCAAATGCTATCAACTGCACTTGATTCTCACAGATCCTCAATATTGTCGACGTCAATATACCAGCTCAACTTGAGGAATCACTATCCGATGAGAAATCGTTGGAAACCCATTCGCCAGGTTCAGACTCCCCTTCATCGCCCCAGTCCCAGGCGGCGCCAGCAAGAATGGTCCTAATCCCAGTAATACAGTTCATAGTCATCGTATCGGAAGTTGGATGCTTGTGGCACAGAATTTTGAATACTTTGAGGCTTGGGGTTTGTTTTGCAATCTCAGTACCTGTCGCAATCATCTCATTGTATAGGCTCAACGCCCTCCTTGGCTCAGTACAATGATGACTAAATCCTGCGGAGAATCGATCGACATCTTGGAGACTGAGGTTGATGATAAGACTCTCAATCTGCAACGGCATAGCACTGTCGCCCTGCCGAAATTCAAAAATCTGTGGACAAATTCTACACATGCGTAAGCGCATGGACCTCAGTGAAGGGATCTGGAGCGCCAGCTGAGGACAAATATGTATGGCGCTGCTCATTTCTGATCCGTAGGTATCAATGACTAGGTGTGAGAGGTTGGAGGTACCCAGGCCGCTCAAAAATTGAGTTGGGTCCCATGATGAAATATATTGCTGGCGAGGAATCAGCGGATTGACTGGGTCGAAGTGGCTGCGGACACGTAAAGTGAAAGATGTTAAATGATTGCTCCGTTTAGCCAATGAAGTGAGTATTTCATTGAATTTCGCGAGATCCTGCTCAGCGGGCCAGTCCTTGGGGCCATGCGCATCAATTGTGAGCTGTCGCAAAAACGCCCTCAGGTTTGGATACACGTTTTCAGGGGCATGTACCAACTGAGTCGCACTCAGCTTCAGGTCCTCTAGCAGGAGCGGCTGTGCAATCTGATACCACAACTTGCAGACCAACAAACAGCAGACTTCCTGTTTGCGAAGCTGATCGCTACCTATAAATCGAATGATGATACATAGTATCTCGAATGGTAGGTTTTGCAGTGTCATTGGAGGAATGTGTGGAGAAGCAGAATAACCGCGAGTTTCAAGAAATACCAAGACAAACGGTACAAACAGGACAAACAGCACAAACTGCACAAACTGCACAAACTGAATCTCTCTTGTCTTTCTCATACGAGTTCATCCAATAAGTAGATCTCTATTAGCAAATCATCCGTCGATTTCTAAAAGGCAAACAAGAAATTTGCTCAATATGTTAGCAGACTTGAAACTTTTTACTCTCGCAATCATCCTTTACAGTGGGGTACATTTAAATCTTGACAGCACCTATTCTTACTCGGGAACCGTTGGCAGACTTGAAGTGAAGTGAGATTAAAAGAATGCAAATAACATATCTCAACTCGTAATTCCGTTCGCATAGTATAATTTGTCAACTCTTCAATCTTGTTGTACCCGTTACGGGTGTATATTTTCCTGCCTTCCTCGTTTATCTAGGCAGTTGCAATTGCTTTCCAACTTGAGAAGTGAGAAAGCGGAGCTCAAATATGCTCACTTACTACTTTAGCCGAGCGTCCAGCTGATTTAGATAATCCTGAATGGTGACCTTCTCTGGATCGGTGGTCATAAAAGCATGAGCGATATACTCCTCCGCTATCAAACTCGTCAGCACCACCCACTTTCGTGATGCGGAATAAATTGACATACCGTGGGTTTTCAACTCATTCCAAGCATCAACAATCGTTTTAAGCTCCCTATCTACAAGTAGCATGGGCGGAATCTCCTGCTTGTCACTTTCAAATAAGTCGTAGACTGTAGTAAGGTCGGCGGCCATCAGAGCCCAAGCGCCCTGAAGCAGCTCGAGCGTTTTGACAGCAGGTCCAATCACATTGATGATATCTGTGACTTGGGCCTTGGAGGCAGGTAAGTCACTAGTGCAAAACAACTCAGTTGGCAAAAGGCTGTACTTACTCCCATGGATTGTATATCGCCTTGTAGCCGAACAGCAATCTGTAGCTTTGCTACATTTGCATCGATCGTCTCTTGGATCTTTTTCATGCTCGCCTCCAGCCGTTTGATGTCACTTTCGGCGAGAATATCAACTGTGACACCAGCAATGGTGCCAATGAACGGTCTGTTTTTGATAACTTTAATATCTAACCTCTGGTTTGTAGGGTACCCATAAACTTACATCCAGACGTAGTAGGCAGTATCTTTGATCTTATCGTGGTCTGTGAGTATGTGAAGGAGTCAGTAGTGCATTCTAGCGAGGTAAAGGCTGGGTCTTCACCTCTGTCAATGGCCACTTGTAGGTCCTGGATATTCTTCCTTTCCTCCGCAATAACAGCCGTCAAATGCTCTATATCATTACCCTCCTCCTCAAGAAGCGATTTTAGGCTCTTTTCATCGCCCTCGAGAGTAGACTCGTACCCCTTACAGTCATCATGAAACTGATTCAAGGCACTCAGGGTCTCTGCGATTTTGTCCTGGATAGATGAAATCTTTTTCTCCTCGCCGTTGATAGCACCTTTGATACTCGATTCCAAATTATCAAGAGTCTTTTGATCGGGGGATGCCTTTTCCATTTCGTCGTTATACTGTCCAATCCATTCTAACATGCCTCGATAATATGAGCTGTCGCTTGTTCCCCCTGCTAGAGTGGCATATGTTTTGATCGTACCCGAGAGGGTCACAAGGCCATTCCAGGTAACTTCCTGGAAGGTGGTACAACTGCTCGACACCTGATATACGAGTGGGAGATTAGCTTGTATATCCTGTCCAGCCAGCTAGTTACATTGTGCACGAGCTTTGACTTCTATACATACCTCGGTATAGGTTCCTAGTAGGTTGTCCACCTCTTTCCAAACCTTGTCACTCATCTCGTTGGTATCGGTGAGACCCAAAACTCTGATGTAGGTGTCGCGGTCGGTTGGGAGCAACTTTCCAGTCCATAGGAATCTACTGAGAGCTACCATATTTTCATCATCCAAGAGGAATGTCTTGTCGTCATCCTGCTCGGCGCTGAAAGCAGTAATCTTCCTCGTTTTGTTGTCAAGAAATAGGCCCTTTGGATACCAGACACTCGGGTCATTGATGGGCTTTGAGGGATCGAAGCTGGTCATGATTGTCAGGATAAAGGCTCAATGTGCGTTGATAAATCCTATATTAAGGAAAGGTGAAGAAATGTTATCTCAAACAGTGTCGATGACTCTGAAATAGAAGGAGACGAAATAATAGCTTACATGGCTTTCCTTTATATCCTGGTTTCTGGATGGCTACGTTCGGTCATTTTCTCAAATGGCGGTCTATCTCCTCTACAGTTGTAGATACCAACACGTGCTTCTCTCTGCCTGCTGTCCTTCTTTCTGGATGATGAGCTCATAGGTTCAGAGAACATAGTCATATGATAAGGAGTAAATAATGAAACATACATCTATATGCATGAAACTGCATGTACTATGGGAACTCAGCTTCGGGTATCTATACCGACAATGAGGGCCGATCCCTTGCATTGCGCTACTCTTAATACTCACATCTTCCAAAAGCAGGATGTGTGTATGTTGATCATTGGGGGGAAAGAGGGGGGTAGTATCAAGGTCGTGAAACCTGCATCGGGAACTCCGACAATGCATGCAGGGATCGATAGTGGACTTCGCGTAATGACTCGACGACCTCGCCAGGTATCCATCTGATATAGATCTAGCACTTTGTATCATGACTAATTATCGATGACGGATTTCTTCCAAGAGGCGGAGTTTGGGGTAATTTTGATTTCCGATATGTGCAGACGGAGCTTTAACCGATTTACGGAGGATCGGTTCATAAGCATCAGATTCGTAGACCAACATATCATACCGAGCTACGGATAAAAATCCTTGTTCAATCCAGCTTAGTCCTACAAACCAAGTTACTTCTTAATCCGAACCTCTGCTTTATGTTGACCTTTAAAGTCTTTGTAGCCCAACAATAAACCAAATCACACAGTATTTATTGATTTCAAGTATTATCTCATTAAAATTGAATTATTATAGCTCAGAGCAGAGTATGTAGTAATAGGTGGCTTCGATTCATCGCGCATATCTAGGCATCGACAGCAAGCAATGTGTCACTAGTTCTGATATCCTTGTAACGCCCGCATGTGAGTTGTATGGGACTAGCCCAATGAAAGAATACGGGAATGCAGCTTGCAGCTTGTGAAAGCAATTCTTCTCGAGATTTCAGGCTCTTCTGCTGGCCATGCTGTATGCTTGTACTCCGTACGACTCTCCACGATGCATGCATCTTCTTGGGGCGATAGTAAAAGCCTTGGCATTCTGCCTATCAGGCTGGAATCGAATCCGTGGCGTTGAGCGATTGACTGGTCCTATGTTTGCAACTGCGGATTGATTGGGCCTCTTTACACCTAGGATATCAGGTGTTCCATTTGCCTACTAGCCAAAATGATTCGTGCTCCATGGAGAAATAACCCGTCCGTCTTTCCTTCCTATAAGACCCTGCCTGCTGTTTGCTATTCTTGTCAAATTCAATATCAGTTCTAATTCACTTCCTCGGAAAAGTTGTCATTATGACCAACATCGCACCCCAACCGAGCAATCCAACCGAATGGCAAGAGTGGTATGCCACGCTGGACGATGTGCTCGATATTCCTCTGCAAGCAGCAGACTATGTCAACGAAAGTTCGGTAATAAATGCAGCGCACCCCCCAGGTATTGACCTATTTGTGCTATCAACTGATTCCAGTGACAGAAACTTGCCACCCACCGAGGCATTCTCCTTGATGCACCCACTGTCCTCGATTTTTCGATGCACAACCTGTACATCTATGCTGATGTTCTTGTCTTCCCGGCGAGCGAAATCACAATTTCTCCTGCTGCAAGCGGTATTGTGCAGATCCTAGCCCGAGTTCTCACTGCTGCGGCTCCAGTCACTCTATTGATCCCCCCTGGTGATGCGGCCACATGTGCAATCTCGATCTATGCGCCAGTTTTAGACCAGCCGATATCAGTCCGCACGGGTGATTCTAAGCCGATAACTCTGGAACTCGGCCCAACGACAGCCAACGTTGGTGTTATCCTAACCTTTTCTGGTGGAGAGGTGACGGCCGACTACCAGAAAAGATACCCTACAGATAATCATCCCGAACTGCAGGCCAGTCTAGAGACTGAATTGCGCAATGCTCTATCTGGGTTTTGGAAAAATAGTTCGGTTGGCATTTCAATCTGCGCCTATGTTGCAGCTATCACACACAATCAGAAGGCCTATTCAATGCTGAATACTCAGGCCGCGGCGTTGGGTCAGCAACTCGCAGGGCGAGTAATGGCTGGTCCAAATATGAGCTACGCACCTACATTGCCTCTTGACACATACGAGAAGACTGCAAAGTTAGCATTAGCTGCCGCATCTGAATTTGACGAAGAATACCGAAACTTCCAGGACAAGGCGGAGTCGCTGGAAATTCAAATCCAGGCGTGGAAGGTTATGCTATCTCAAGCCATTGCCAATCAAACCATGCGGATCAACTTGCGTGACTCGGCATTTGACAAATATCAGTCAGCTGCCAAGTCTGCAGCCTCTTGTGAGACGCAGTTCCGGTATGAGAATGATGCCGTGAAGAGCGCCGAGATACAATTTCAACTTGGAATTGCGGAATGGGAGTTCAATCAGGAGCTTAAAGCTGTATTTGAGATACTCAAGGCTGTCATCAGTAAGTCAGTCACCTTCTAGTTATTCTATCTATCAATTTAGTTATTCGATTATCCAGGCTTACATGATATAGCTTTTGCAGTCAATATCGGCGAGCTGTGTATCGGAGACCCTGCTGCAGCTGGCGGAGCAGAGAAAGCCGTGGATGGCGCCGTTGAGGCTGTTGAGGAAGCAGAAAAGATTACAGGCCAGATCGAAAAGATCATATCGTCGACAACATTGGAGAATCTGGGAAAAGCTGCAAAGGCTCTATACAAATTGTATCCGTCGGTGGTCCAGGTTGTGGATGCGGTAAAGGCTCTCGAGTCCAATTCCGACACCGAGATCCCTTCCATGGGGGATATATCTGGCACGACAGAGGGTGACGCTGATTCTGCTGCTATTGTGGCACTAGCGGCATGGGATGTATGGATTCTCGAATCAGATCACCAGATGGAGTTTGCGGTGAAAAATGAGATTGGGGGTGCTAGTGAGTATCAGCTTGCATTGCGGAAGCATGCGATAAATGGAAAGCAACTGGCCCAGACCCAGGCTGAAGCTATCAAGGCTGGGTATGAATATGTCCAGGCTCAAATGGAAGTCATTGTCTGCGCAAAGCAGGTCAATGATCTTCAGGGCTTGATAGATGAGTATACGGGGCAGGAGGATATCTACCTACAGGCTAAAGTTCAGTTTTATGATCGGCTAATGGCACTTCGAACGGGTGTTGTGATTGAACTGCAGAACATGGTTTGGGCATATCGATACTGGGCGCTCGCAGAAAGCACTCTAGTCCTTGATATCATGAAATCAATCGACGAGTACAATAGCGATCTGTACACCATTGCACTTGCCATGGAGACAATCGATGGACAATACGGCAGTGATTACCAAGGTAATTAGCTCATCCGCCCCTCTAGGGCTAACTGACTGTTCTGTTCGGGTAGACTTTGAGTACGATCACAAGTCCGAATATGTATGTACTCTTGATCCTTGTGAGAGTTGCCACCACTGACTGGCATGACGGTAGCTTCCCTTGGACTTTGGCTCTTTGCTGCTCGAGGGCCTCACTAGTGAAAGGCACACCGGTAGCTTTACCCTCGCACCGGAAGAAGCCTTAGCCGGTCAATTCGTTGAGGGCTCCCACTACCGACTGAGTAGCTTAGACCTAACTCTCATCGGAGCACGCCCCAAAAGCGAGTTTCTGGAAGACGGTGTAGTGAAGGTTTCTTTGGAGATCACCACATCGGGAATATACAACGATATCAACAAGGATCAGGTCTTTCACTTTGCCAGCGTCCCCTCACTCGTTCGTTGTTCTTATCAGCTGAATGAAGAGGGCGACAGAGGGTTGACATTGGAATATCCTGTTTTCAAAACCGAAAACCATGCCGAGCCCACACCTTTTACACAGTGGCAGATAAAGCTATTGCATCCTGAGAGGGTTGATTTGAGTGGATTGACAGGGATTAATTTGAATTGGAAAGGCCACGTTCGTTTTGATCCGACGAGACGATCTAAAGAAATATCGATGGAGGCTTAAGCTTGAACTTATTCAATGTATCGGAAGGAAGATAGGCAAAATATCGCCCGATGATAAGCAGTTTGTTTTGTTTAATCGTGAAATTGAGGGGGAATATTGAACCTGCTGCCCGATAATTCAGTACCGCCTTCCTGATCTTCCCTTGACACCTCTGCTTACCGCTCGCTATACCGCCCTCTAAATCTTACACCGCTTTAGTGCCAAACTCCATATGATACAATAGTAGCAAGACAATGGATACCTGGAATTTGTATGTAAACCAGTAACAAAATTAAGTCACTTTTGTCATATCAACTGCTTTATCATCAAGGGGTTAAATTCTGTAGGAATTAGGTAGAATATATGATTTTTTCTGATCAAAATGAATGTTTTTTTTACTATGTAGACCAGAAGTGGGCAGAATATATGGCAGAAAACTCTATAGCGGCAGAAATTATGGCACCCAATCTGGAAGGCGGTACTAAATTTTCGGGGGCGGTGGACCCGAGAAAATTGCCTGCGCTATAAACTAGACAGGGACGAGGCAATCATCTGCGACTTGAGCTACGAAACTCTTTGTTCTCTCTCAACCATATGCCCTCTGCAATTTTTAATAGTCAGTCTATGATGTATTTGAAAATTTTGTATTGACGATTGCACAGAGCAAAAATTTGAAGCTATAGGGGATTAAGGCAACCTAGGCATAATTGGTTAGGCAAAAGAAACCAGACTACATCTGTCAATCTGACCCATGAACTCGATACCTCAGCCACTGATATGATTTCTTGAACTTTTGGACTGCATGTGAGGAATCAGGTCAGCATCCGTGAACAACAGACATAAGAAGGATTTTGTCATACCTTCTACTGCCAGATCACTCCACATCTCCAGTAGTTCGTTCTCTTCTAGGTTGAGAAGAGGCCCAGGCCCCGGCTCGGTGTTCTCGGTGATGTACTCAGTCAGTGCAGTGAGATCATTGAATATATTGTATGCCGCACCTAACGCATACTTGTCAATCTCAACTCCAGCAACTCGACAGGGGATGAGCCTACCGACAGCGAGCTGCAGGTTTGCCAACGAGGCACTTGAATCATTCTGCATGTTCTGGTTTGCGATGATTCCCTATTGAATCTCACTGTTAGAAACAGCGCAAACCCCTAAAGGAGCGGTTATATGCATGTAGATTTATCGAACTTGCATTCAGGATATCCAGTGCTTTGCAGTCACTTTCAAAATCCTCCTGTCCATTTATGTCACCTTCGTGACACTTGCGGAGTCGGTCGACAGTGTCTTGTCGCCCTAGTTCCTCACCGACTTGTTTGACCAGCTTTTGTCCCTCGGTTACGTTTCCGATAGCTGCCACAAGATTGTCGGTTGTGCTCGTGCACTGTTTAGACAGGTCATTTACTTTGTCCAATCGGTCTTTGATCGTTGCCTGAACTTCTGCACGCAGACTCTCGTTGTCTGATTCATCGTCGTAAAGCCTTTCGAGGTCATCGAATATTTCATCTGTTTTGAACAAAGCAAAAAGACTTAGCTTAAAAAAAACTAAGGAATCAAAAATCCGGGCTCTTCCTACCATAATCCTCTTTTGCTGTAGCCGAAAGTTTGAGAATGTAGTCACAGACAACCCCAACAGAACGATATCCGCCCTAGAGCAAACGATTAGATTGATTGGCATTGTCAATTATCTTTCAAGCTTGAGTTCCATACCTCAAGATCCATAGACTGGCTGGTAATCTATCGATGTGTCAGTAGGTGGGTGTGAGAAAAGATCAAGGATAGGCCTGTACTGTGTAAAAGTGTTCCATGACCGGAATTAGCAGGTCTACATACAGCTATAGGTATCTCTAGATTAGTTGAGATCAAAGGGATTAGTTTGGTAGTCCTTATTTTACCTCTTGCCTTCCCCGCTCTGTGAATGGCACTCTATAGTTAAGACTAGAATCATTATAAGGTAAATCCAGTGTTGCCTGGGTTGCCTGTTGGAGCTTGAGGAAACTCGGGCCGTCACAGCAGAAGGTTTTGCTGTTGGTGAGTAGATCCCTTGGGCTGAGGAAGGATTCATCGAACGACATCTCTGTTTTTCAAAAGTAGTTGCTAGATTGAACATTCGAAAAACTAGAAGACGAACGACCCATTTATATATTTCTTCAACAACAGAAGACACAAAGTTCATTTGTTGGACTATGCACATATCTTCGAGGAATAATGAGTAACGCATGATAAATGCACCGCGATATGATTTTATTATGCATGTAAGTCTGCCCAAGATGCAACTTTCTCCTCAACACGGCAATCTGCATGCATACGTGAACCCCTCTGCGTCTGCATTGATGATCGTGTAACTGTACAGACCATCATACAGATTTGAAATGACCTATGACAGCATAGGTGAGTGTTCAAGTCTACGAAAAGGACCATTTTATCAACCAAGAGCTCTATGTCGGAAGCCAAACAGTGTCTATAGTCGGAAAGTATCAAAGTTGTTAAGTGGTCAAGCCAGCGTAAAAACGTCGTTTTCCACTTAATAACAGCTCTGCTTTGCCCACATTCAGAATTCTTAGAATTTAGTATCGTATCCCTCGTTGCCTAGTGTTTCTAGTTTTCCTTAGTCCACGAAGCCAAAGTTGAAGGCCAGTGTAATGTTCTTCTCTCTTTGTCGCTGTTTGATGCTTCAAATTAATCCATTCTACGTCTGGTATCGACTACTCCTGGTGCCTTTAGGATATTAGAAGTATATCCACACAATTATTCGATATAGTTTGACTGTCCAGAATGGATGAAGCCAGCCGCGGATCGGGCTATTTAAGCCCCGAGGATGGTACTCCGTACGTAGAGTGACTTGGCTACCATGCACATGCATTGTTCTCTTTGATCTCCTGTATTTCCCTCAAACTCCCTACTCTTTGTCATTCTCCAAGCCCCTATTTGCAAAACTCAGACTAAATTGAAGAATTCTCTATTGAAATGGGTTCTATCGAAAAACACTGGACATCGTCCCAAGACATGAACCCTGAGAGCAACCATACAAAGAAGATAAAAAAAGTCCTCGAAACAGCTAATTTCACCCATCTCTGCTCTGAGGCCTCAAAGATCCGCCAACGAGAAGAGTCCCTAGATTCGCTGACCTGCTCTGTGAACACCGCAAAGCTCACCAGCGGTACATACAACCTCGTGCTTGCCCTTACCTTCTCAGACACGACTCAATGGGTGGCGAGAATTATGCTGCCCGAAGACGACTACGACGATGAAGATGAAGATGTTGCGATATTGCTTTTGAGCGAAATTGCTTCTATGAACTATGTTCGCTCCAAAACCACCATACCCGTACCCCGCATCTTTGGGCACAGTGTCACCAAGAATGACTTCGGCTATCCCTATATCTTAATGGAAGCCCTCCCAGGAACGGTCCTAGAGAACAGAATGGCTCTCTCGATACCCGCTTCACATAAGAAGAAATTCGCCGCTCAACTAGCCCGCTATATCTATGAACTGGGCACTCTCCGATTTAGCAAGATCGGCTGCCTCTCTCACCCCGACGAGTCCGACGAGCTTGAACCGTCATCATTCCAAATCTCAGGTTCTTGGGTCGGACCTCTGTCGACCTCATTGGAATACTTCTATCTATTCCGAAAAGGTCAGACAAGGGAAATCCACGAAAAACACAAAGGCGAAGCAGACTGGGAAGCAGCCGCTTGGTTCCTCGAAAAATCGTTGACGTCGATGGTAACGGAGGAGCATGTATATGGCCCATTTCCATTGTGTCATTTGGATCTTCACTTCAATAATATGCTCGTTGATGAAGATTTCAACATCACTGCTATCCTTGACTGGAGCAATATTCAGACTGTGCCGATGGAGCGTTTTGCCTCAAATCCGGAATTCATTGCTCCTCCTGCCGCGCCACAGGAGTTTAAACAGGCGGTCTTTGACTTCCGCGATATTTTTGTTGATGCGTTAGCAAGCATCGAAGGGGAAAGCGGTGCCTCGTCGTCTGATGGAGGAATGCCATTATCCCGTCTGTTTGCATCTCCCTTGTCTGAGGTGGTTTTTCGATGTACCTGTAGCCCTGCACGGAGAGCTATTTTCGATGCTCAGCTCACCCTCTCTCTAACTTATGGTAAAGATGCTAAGTGGGAGGATTTCAAGAGATTCTTCAATGACCGTTCGGCGTGACTCGCCAGTTGAGGAAGGTGCATTGCGAATAGGAATATTATTTCTCGCCAACATAATGAAAAATAGAGGCCTACGAAAGCCACAAATACTATAGCAATAGATTAGAGACTGTCAAGAACAACTGGTATTGATAGCTGTTGAAGCTGAATGCAAACTATTGACGTTGTATGTCGAGAAATCACAATTCCAGAGAGAATGCAATAATACATAACAGTGAGATTCTTAAAGAAGGGTAGGGGGATTCATATCCGGTGAGAGGGTAGTTTGTTTCACCCGCTCAAGAGCCGGGACTATGACATCGCCCTTGGCAGAGTTGGTTATCTGATCCTTAACGGCCGAAGGATTAGGCGATGTGCCTGGTGTGCGTTCGCCCTTGCCATGGCGCTGGATGAGACCATTGGTGATGCCCAGCACAGAGTCGACAATGACGGCATCAATTCCTTCAGAGACTTGGTACTGTAGGGATTAAGTGGTAAGACGGTTGTTTGAGATTTCTAGGGATGTGAAAAGACCATAACTTACGTCAACGTTCTTGCCCTCATTGTTGAGTGTTCCGTAAGAGACACACACAAGACCGGACTCTTTGACAATACGGACTAGTCGTGGGCAGAGGACCAGTGGTTCAGCCTGGGTGACGATTCCAAGGAGATTCCACCGCGAGGCGAACCGAATAGCCTCCTGCAAGCTGCTAGCACGGATGTCACCGACCGGGGAGGCGCCTGCGTCAGTCAAGAAAAGAACGGGGATGGAAGGCTGCTTGAAAGAGAGTAGCAGACAGATGTCCGGGTTGAAGCTGGAGAACAGTATGTCGCGGCCGCCTCCTAGGTCATACACCTTGGTCAAGATGGTGTCGACGAAGGAGTTCAGTTCCACTGCGTACGTGTCCATTTCTTCCTCCTCGCTCTCGTGGAGCATGGGGTATTCTGACGACCTTGGTTAGATCGACGGAATAGCTGTTCTTGGGAAGCTTTAGTAACTCACTTAGTTCAATGTTAAATCCGACAGGTTTCGGGATCTTCCTGAATAATTCCTCCAATGTAGCGAATGGTGCCTGGATGTGCTCGCCGCGGGTGTTGCCCTTGAATCCCTTCTTCTTGAAGTCGCGTGTGTGCTTGATCTTTTCGGTCAATTCGGCTGGGTTGTACTCGGAGCCACCGACTGACATTGAGCGCTGGCGCGGACCAAGCTCAGATTCCTCGCCGTTGGTTTTGACAGATCCCGGCAATGAATGACGGTAACGTCCGATGCCTAACTCGAGGAACTGATCAAGTGTCATGGTATGAACAGGCGCATCTATACCTGTCTCGCTGACCAGGAAGTCGTGGTAGATGACAGGCACGTGGTCTTTCGTGAGCTGTACATCGAACTCGACATATGAGGCGCCCAGGTTGGCTGCAGCGATGAAGGACTCCACGGTATTCTCGCCCAACTGTAACGAATTGCGGCCAGCCATATTCTTACCTAGCCCACGGTGTCCGATGACCATGGTTGAGCTCATCGAGCGCCAGTAAGTCTGGTTGCCAGCGATAGACATTTTCGGGTGCTTGAAGGGCGTGATGATAAGGAAGTTGAAAGTCACAGACCCGATCACCTCAAGGGTATTCGCGGCAACAATGGGAACAGTGGAATCACCTTTGAGGTTGATTCGGTGAGACCCGACAGTGGGCTTGATGCTAGAAAGCAGAGCGACACCCCGGCCAACAATCTTATCCTTCGATCCTGCGTAGGTGGGGATAAGGTCGAAAAGTAGACGCACCTTGCTAGGATCGGTAGTGTGGAAGACGATTGGCTCGGTTGAGATATTGTCCTGCACAGGCAAGTCAATCACCTCCGGCTCACCGTGTGCACCGCTAGCTGTTATCACCATCGACAAAGATGTGTCTAGCTGGGTTGCGTGTGCATTCTCCAGCGGAATGCGGTCGAGGCTGACTGTCTCAAGCGGCTTGCGCATGTCCATAGTTCCCAGACTGACCAAGATCATGCTCTCATCAGTGAGATACCTGTGTCCAAAAGTCTTGATAGGTTCAGTGGTCCGTACACCAGGACCCCCAGAAGTTGGGCCTGGCGCATTTGACCGGCGATCAGTGAGGGACGACTGAGTCGGGGGCGAGGAAGAATCAGAACCAGTGAGGTTTGGAGTAGACGATGAAAAATCAGGCTCAGTGGCAGGAGGGCCAGGGCTAACTTCTGCCAAGCATCGGGCGATGTCAAGATGGCCTCTGAGGGCCGCGTGCTCCTTAGCCGTCCAGCCAGAGGAATCGAAACGCTCCACATCTGCACCAGCGGAAACCAGCATTTTGGCCACACTCAGAGATCCGTCCACACAGGCAATGAAGAGCGGAGTCCAGCTATATGTGTTTTCGGCTAATTCTGTGTCTGCCTTCTGGTCGTCGCTACCATCCAGTAGAATTTGGGCGCACTCATCACGGCCAAATCGGGCAGCAACGTGCAATGCAGTTTCTCCCTGTTCATCCTGGTAATTGATATCCACACCGGCATCCACCAGAAGCTGGACAATGTCAATGAAGTTGGCCTTGGTCGCTAACGCCAATACTGCACTAGACTTCGAGACCTGTTTTCTTATGATGCTCCGCCCCTGCGAGGGACCATGCTGTTTTTCGGCATCCAAGAGACATCGGGTGGTTTTTGGGTGGCCACCCACAACACTCAAATGAAGCGGGGCCCAGCCGTCATTGTCCTGCCAGAGAGGACCGTCGATTCCATCGCTGACATCGAACATGTCCCATTCTATGAGATGCTCAATGATCACTTCACAAACGACCTTGAAACCATACTGTGCCGCATAGTGCAATGGAGTGCGTCCAGCAAGGTCTTTGGCCATCAAAGACTCACGCTGATCAGGGCGCAGCGAGTCTAAGAGAAATTGGAAGTGAATAACAGCAGAATCCTCGCGACCCAGCTGCTGGGGCATGTGCTCCTCTTTGACCACAGGGCGCGGCGGTTGGAGGGTCGGAGGTGCCGCGGGTGTGATATAACGGGTAGTCTCCGGAGGGAAGTTGAGCACCATTGACGCCGCGGGCTCGGCGTCAGTCGTAGGCTGGTCACGACCAATGGAAATGACCAGACGGTGAAGGCAGTTACGTCTGTTGATGTCATCGTCCTCTTCTAGGGTGTCCACCCGGTTCAGGAGAATATTCAGGACAGCACGAGAACGATGAAGGATAGAGCGCTGGATCAGGGTTCTGAGAACCCTAGGATAAACCGTGTCTCCCGCTTCATCTGCAGTAGCCTTCAAAGTCTCGAGTAGTTCAAGGAAGACATGAGTGTCATCCTTGCGCAGGGCATCATCCACAGCAGTGAGAATGCTCGTAGGCAGATTAAGATAAGGCCTAGTTGGGCCACGCTTCAATGAAAGGGAAGAATGGGTGGAGCTCGTGTCATCGGATGCCTTGTCGTCCGCCTTGGACTGGTCCGTAATGATGGCCATCCAAGCATTGATGCGATCCTGAGACTGGAAGACGCGCTCATTGGAGGCGAACGGGGCGGGATCGACCTTCGTCTCCAGATAGCGCTTCTGGGCCTGCGCACCAACCTTCTTGTCCAACTTCTTGGTGATCTTGACGAAGCCACGTCGATTGACTTCACCATACCATTGTAAGCGGCGCAAGTGGTATCGCAGGTCCAACAGGGCCTCGCGCAGGTCGTGCCGATCCTCGGGCTCGAGAGCATGGCGACCATCCATTGAGTAGCCATAGCGCTCCTCGAGCAACTTCAAACGGCGGGCGAAGTCGGAATATTTCTTGTTGTAGAAATGATCGACATCTTCAACATTTCGGTCGAGGTTGTAGAAGAAACCTATAGGCAGCAACACAAACGGCCTGGTCAGAAAAGCGCTCAAATGTTCAAGATAGTAAATTCAAAGAAATGAAGCACTAGACTTACCAGCCAAATCCGGCTCCTGTCCCGCTTTGATCTGCTCAGCAGCAGACTTGATCAGCTTCTTCAGGGCCTTGTACTTGATGTAAGAGCTGCTCCACTCGGGAACCGTGAACTGCGGCAAATTGCGACCGAATTTCATACTGGCGAGACTAAAAAGTCCACTAGAAATTCAGTTCAGAACCACACTCCTTTCAAAATCCACGCTTTATCTGCAATTTCGAGTTGTGTTTGGGCTTTCCAATCGAAGAAAATTCGGAGCAAGTTCAACCTGAATATCACGAGGAAGCGATCAGGTGAGCGGGCGAACGCAGGCAATGGAAGAGATGAACCGCGCCATCGGAATGTGTGTGACAGGGAATATGGAGAGGGAATGTAAAAAGGAAGGTAGAAGGACAAAGAGACAAAGCTCCAAAGTGTACCTGACTGTACAAACTGTACCTGTCTGGGAGTGTCGGGGAGATGGGAGGGATACTTTGCACACCTAGAGAAAGACGCCGAGGATAGATCGAGAGGAGAAGAACCAAAGAGCCCAGAAGTTGAGAAAAGAACCTTGGAAGAGTCCAGGTGTTCTTTAAAGCTTAGGAAGGCGAACCGGTTGGAGGTGTGCGCGCTGGACTGAAGATGATTTGTCGATCCACGGGGGAATTCTCCACGGTACGGTCTTATAAATATCCGCCAAGCTACTCATATATCAAGGTACCGAACACTCCGTACTATATATATACATGTTCGGAGTACTACCCATGTAGGTATTGGATTTGCGGTGTGGAATTTCGTCCGCAAGCTCACGAATATAGTGGATTACTTGTCCAACGTCATACGAATGGGAGAGAGAGGATACCACTTGACCCCCCACATGCATGGGATCGGCGTCAGTTAGTCATTGGCCGATGGACCCTAGAGGTGTTTTGTGACTTTCAAGAGAGGGATCAAGCATCATGTATCAACAAATACCTGGAATGCATCTAGGAATGTCGATGAAAGTTCCTAAAGCTTGAATGGCTGAAAGTTCAAAGGACCAATACAGGGGGAGACCCGTCACGAGGTCCGCTACAGAACTACAGAAGCGCCACAGCCTAGTTGGGAATTATCTCGATAGTCAGCTGTTCAAGTCAGAGGTTAGGGGGTAAGATCGAGCCATTCATAATTCTATGAGTGCAACCTATTGCACTCTGTGCGCCGAATTCCATAGATTGGACGCCTCCCTTAGGCGTCCTAAGAAAAAAGCAGTCGCCAAATCCGTCGCTGTGCTCATGATCGGGGGTCATCTCGGAAACTCATTAAAAAAGCATGGAATATAAGAGAAAAATCGCAAAAACTCCACTGGATCAGCCAGCCATCCCAAAGCCACATGCGAATGGAAAGAATAAAAAAGGAATCTGCTCGAAAATGGAAGACATCGAACGGCCATGGCCGCTATTCAATCAGCGGCTTCAAGGCCTCTACCCCAGCCTGTAGCACCGCTTGGTTCTTCGTCTTCTTGAGACATGCAGTGAGAACATCAATTCCTCCTGCGGCGCGAACGGCAGCTTTAGCGCGGGCTCCGATATCACCTGTCGCGATGCAAGTGAGGTTGCGTATGCAGACCACACCTCGGTGAACCAAGGCATCGTCATCCTCCTGGCACAATCCCAATAACAGTTCAACTCCTCGTGGTCGGTCCAGGACAGCTGCTATGGCGGCATCGAACTCCGTCAACATCGCAAGAGCCCCGCCGGCAGCCCGTCGCGTCGGAGCATCATCGGCATCGGTCAGAGCCAACAGAATGTGAAGGCGTTGGGCCGCTTGCTTGGAGCCATCCGCAAACTTGATAATGCCGGACTCGCAAGTCATCAGATTGCAGACCAGTTCGCAAGAAGCTCGTTGAACTTGAGCATTGCTAGACAACAGAAGATCTTCCACCGCAGACCAACCTTCCCGGACCATGAGTTCGGGTGCGGAGTCGTCATGCGGATATGAAGCGAGGTTCGTCAAAGCTAGGAGACTCTCAAACACTGGGAGTAGATCACGAGGTTGGTCTGCCGAGAACGAGGCAGTCTCGGGCGATGAGAGGAGAGAGAGCAGGGGACGGACGGCGGATGTGACCTGGGGAAATCCAGATGCTGGGAATACATGTGAAGGATCAACAGAGATGAGGATCCGGGCCAGCGCGTGTGATGCGATGCGTGTTGTTTCGTTCCTCACAGGGCCAGAGCTACTCTGCTTCGGGGCTGCAAGGGCGAGTAACAGTTTCACCGCGCCTTGCTGGGCCAATGTTCCACGGGACTTTTGGGGTCTTGTCAAGGATTGTAGAATCTTTGCCGTGAGCTCATTGGTAGAAGGGTAGGAGACTCGGCCGCACTCAACGAGCAGAGTCATGATGCCTGCATCGATAACGGCGGAACATCGCGACAGGACAGCTTCCTCTTCATCTCGAATATCTATCGCTGGTGCCTGCATGGTAGACGGGTCCGCGTAGTTCTTCAACTGTGCCATCTTCTTTTGCTCTTCGGATAGGTTGGGTAAGAATTTGGTGAGGTTCAAAACGACTGTCAAGCCACCATAGAGCACGGATGAGTCTTTGGTGTTGTGTTTCATAGCCGCAATGAAGTTACGTAGGAAAACCGGATCATTGGCAAGTTGATCCTTGACGGACGGCTTCACCGAGGTATAAGCCAATCCTTCGATTGCGTGGGAGCTGTGTTCAACCTTTTGTTCAGACATCAGTCCCATGAATCGATGAACTAGTTCAGACTCGCTGTCTTGTTCCAAGACCTTACCGTTGCCAGTCGAGGGTTTATCGGGCTCGGATGCCCGAATCTTTGCCAGGGCCACTGCGGCTAATTCCGAGCAATTATCACTTCCATTGGTCAACATATGTGACAACCATTCTCCAAATTTCTTTGAAACAACCTCACGGCACGGACGATTAATGCAAGCCGCATTAAGAAGTTCCAACACGAGAGCTTCTACCTTCTTGCTTTTGGTGTCTCGCGATGCGATTGGGAGGAGGAAGTTCATGAATTCGTCCGACAAGAAGAGATTGGCAGCTGCAGAGGGAGCCACAGGGAAGATGGCGGCCACCGCAGAGAAAGCAACGATGAGATCGCTGACACGGCCCTTGCCAAGGATGGACATTATCAGTGTCAAAAGCTTCTTCTCGCCTCTTTCCTTGGCGACATCGAGATATTTTGCAGTAGCCAGGGTCGCCTGGCTTCGGACTTCTAGCGGCAGCCGATTGTCCAAGGATGAGAGGATCACCTCCAAGCCTTCATCGTCGATCAGATGTTCGAGTTCAGCGGCGTGAACAGCGAGTAATCGAGTAATTCCCTTTAAAGAGCGACCATCAAGATCATGGCCCGATTCCATCAACTTGGCAATGAAAAGCTGGAAGAGTTCACTCTCGCAGTGGGATCGTGTTTCCTCCGATGTCCACACGGTGGGATCCAACACCACTGTATCCAGACACACCGCTGCTCTATCACCCCGATCATATATCTCGTCAAAGAATGCTGTGACAGAAGTCTGGAGCTGTGTAGAGAAGTACAGGCGAACACTGACGTTCTGTCGCACCAACCCAGAGATGATCTCATCCTGTGTCGTCGATAGAGAGTGCGGGCGCTGTGCGAGCAACAACTTCAGACATTCCAAAGCGACGTTTTCCGGGGATTTCAGGCCGTCAGTCCGGAGATAAGTAGCAGCTTCTTTGCCCGCACTTTCATCATTGTGCAGGGTATATCGGCGGCAAAGATCGAGAAGCTGGTGACCGTCTTTGTCTTCATGCTGAACTTTCAAAAAGGCGGCTTTCACTTGGGGGTTTTCGGGGGCGATCGCAAGGGCTTCTCTAAGATTCCGGGAAGCAGCCTATTGGAGCTGCATATCAGTATTCCGCTAGCTTCCATTGAGGGGTGTTCAAGAAATAGATCACCTACCTCTCGGTGGCCCGCGTCGACCAGTTCGACAGCCTCTCGGGCCAGGTTTACAGCGCGCTCTTCGCCCTTTGCTTGAACCATTGCAGGGGTGCGCAAGAGAAGGGCCAAAAATGAAGATTCCAGTTATCGGATCGAGCTTGGAGGGTTAAAGTGGATGGGAGGGCCTTTTTTTTTCCTTGGTGAGGGGAGTGCGGAGCGGAGAGAAATAGCGATAAGGTGGGAAACAGACAACCGCTTTTTATGGGGAAGGGGGGAAAAGGAGGTCTTGGAAGAAGAAAAGCGTCGAAATATTAGAATTTTATTTTTGTTTCGGTTTGCCGCGCTGGCCTGTTCGAATTCCTAAAATGACACCATAGACCTTTCCCCGTACATCGATGTACTCCGTAATAATATACCGAATCTTACAGTTCCACGCCTTTTCCTTCACGAATCCCCATTATCAATTGGTCCGATAAGACACCAACCACAGCGACGAACCCCGTCACGTTGTCGATAAGCAAATACTCAGCTTAGTCCTTTTCGTCTTTTGGTGTGACGTCGCAAGTCAACATTCCAAGGTCTCCGAAGAGATATCCTGTGGCCTCCGGTGTGCGGGAACCCATTTTTATACAACTGCCGTGAATAGTAGAAAGGCATATTGGAACCCAGAGCATCACAGGCACTAGTTTCATCTTGGCGCATTCAAGGGATATATGCCAAGAGAAACCATGTCCTTTCTTTCAAATCGACTGAAAACAGAGCACCTCTCAACAAAAGATGCTCATACATTCAAGGTAATTTCAGTCACCCACGGCTTCGCGGTGTGGGATTCAATCCGATTGGAGTGTTGGTTCTCCCGAGGTCGGTCTGCCTGTGAGTCAGTCGAAGATCCCGGATAGTCAATTTAGTATGAGGATGTAAAAACATGCAATTCGACGACGTAGGTTGGAGATATATATTGGAAACAGATATAAGACATAGCTATAGTTGTTGTTATCACCCCGTGACTAGCTTATCGCTTCAAGATCCTCGACAGGTAGAGCTTGGACTTCAAAGTTAATTCCGGCTGTATGTGCAGCACCCTCGGGGTTCTAAAGGGTTCTAAATAACCAGCCTGGCATCAATCTGTGAGCCCAGCGCACAATAATGAACACCACCCTGGACCGATCCTCCATTTCAATACAATGAATTCCGTGGATGCTTCGGAGCATTATGAGTTAGGAGCTACCGGTCCGTATTCTCTACACTTACAAGAGGCGAACAACTGGCTAACCATATCGACATCTAGACCTCTCCCCATCCCTGCTCACCATAGTCATCGACACAAATCCACACGCCTGGGCCGCACTAGAAGACTCCCTGCCGCTCTCTAAAGCAATCGCCAACATCTTAGTCTTCATCAACGCCCACCTAGCATGCAACTATGCCAACGAAGTCGCCGTAGTCGCATCGCACAGTCAAAAAGCAGCATGGCTCTACCCATCCCACGATGAGCCCCGAAAGCGCACCGCCGATCGCGACGGTGACGTCGCAATGAATGGCGCAAGCGACACCCCAGCCCCAGAAACGAACAAATACCGCCCCTTCCGCATCGTCGAAGAACAAGTCACCCGCAATCTCAAAGAACTAATGGACTCGACGACTGGCGACGATCTACGCGGCAACATGTCCACGATGCTAGCGGGCGCGCTCACCCTCGCCCTGAGCCACACCAACCGACGCACGCTCGCCTGGGCGGAGGAGCACGGCGGCGCCAACGCCGAAGATGCAGCGGCTGATGGCAACGGCGGGGGCGGGGGCACATCCACAAACCGGTACTCAGCCTCGAACGAGGACGAGCGGCTGCAGAGCCGCATCTTGGTCGTTTCTGTGAGCGGGTCTACGGATGCGGCCCACCAGTATATCCCTGTCATGAACAGCATCTTTGCCTGCCAGCGCTTGAGCATCCCCATCGATGTGTGCAAGCTCAGTGGCGATGCGGTCTTCCTTCAGCAGGCGTCTGATGCTACCAAGGGGGTTTATATGGCTCTCGCCGAGCCGCGAGGCCTGCTGCAGTATCTGATGATGGCGTTTTTGCCTGATCAGCGCTCACGTCGTCATTTGGTTCTTCCAAGTCGGGTAGATGTCGATTTTCGGGCTGCTTGCTTTTGTCATCGCCGAGTAGTTGATGTTGGCTTCGTCTGCTCCATTTGTCTCAGTATATTCTGCGAGCCGCCCCCTGGTGGTGACTGCATGACTTGTGGCACGCATCTGGATATCGGAGACAATGCCAAGCCTGCTCTGTTGCCACGGAAAAAGAAGAAGAAGAAGCGTGTTAACGGGGCATCCGGAACGGGAACGCCCATGTCGACGCCTACGCCGGGTCCTTGATATCTCTTCTACGGAAGGTCATATCGTTAGAGAAAAAAAAGATAACCATATGGTGGCATCTGGCTTTATGATGTCTGGGTTGGTATTACTTCTGGATCACACATTCGCTTGATGCTATGAGCGACACTACACGTAGCTGGTTTACAAGGAAGAGATTTGGGACAGTTCTCATCATACTAGTGTGAAACGAATAGGTACACACGGGGAGGACCGCCGGGAATTTTGAAACACTCTGATCACATTCTTGGTGTCCTGTCTTAAAGAAGGAGGCTATCTAGGGACAGCAAGAAACATCCGATGAAGCAATCGCTCGTCTTGTCATCCTGTCACCGTGGAAGACATCAATGGTGTTAGGCCAAGGAACACAATGGAGAATCGGGTATACCAAGGCAGAGATTTCAGATGGGAGGGACCGGACTGAGGTAGATACAGGTGATTGTGGGCGAAAACTACCTCGTCCATCGATGAGTACCAACAGACCAGAAGTCAGCAGAGCAAAGAGGGCTCGCTGCAAGATAGTTGTAGTTCGCATCCAGGATGAATTGCAATTCTTATTACAATCCTTGTCAGCATCCACAGCTTATATCTTCAACCTAATGATGAAACTTACAGTTATTTGAAAACCTGATTCGACAACCTCCTTGGGCAATGGTTCCTCGCGAGCCTCGCGACATCAGACAAGAAGGTCTGTTCGAATTGCTAGACATCGAGGCAATGGCCTGTGGATATGTTTAGCATCCAGTCCTGCACCATGGCAATAATGAAAGACTCACAAAAGAGTCGGTGTTGTGGGCAAAGTAGAGTTCGATGCCCGAATTGTTTTTCTTCACAACGACCACTCCAAGGGCTCCAAAGAGGACGCTGTTACTCACGGCAGGGTGTTCTAACAGACAAGCAAACAAATATTAGTGTTTGGAGAATTAAAGCAGCGAAAAGATTTAAACGGACCGTTAAACTCCCTTTTCATCCATGCCCTGATAGCTTCTTCCTCCATCACCTGGGTAAAAAGGCCATTGTCGCCCATCTTCTGACTGTAATACATCCTTTGCGCACAGGTGCTTGCCGCCAGTGTTGAGGCGATAAGCTCTCCAGTCCCAGATGTAACAACTGCACATGTAGTTCCATCCACATCAGATGGGTCTTGTGGAATAACATGGGTGCCAATGCCAATTAGGGCTGCAGGACCAATTCGACCTCGGTGCTTCATGCCAATGCCACCAGAAGAAGATCCCGCTGCAATGTTTCCATACTTATCAATGGCAATCGCGCCAACAGTGTCTGTAATCGTATCCTCGTCTTGTTCACTATCGGCGGCATCGGGGCTACCATCCCGAGATAAGAATGAGGGGGAGACAGGTTGCACAGGTAGCTGTGAATTCGCGAGCTTGGCCTTTTTCTGACTTTGATGCTCCAGCGATGCTCCCGGGCGCCCCTTCACATCTGCAAAAAAGCTTGGATCGGCCTGGTTTCTGATTTCCTCGTCTGCTGCATGGCTGGTCGGATGAGCTCCTGCTTGAGAAGCACGCTCGAGACGTTCAAGGCGAGTGTCAAGGGGAGTCATGGGCCGGCGAATCCAGGGATCGATTACTTCGCCACGGGTTTCATTTTCATAATCATTGACTTCTGCGGCCCATACCTGATAACGCTCTAGAGCGACGGGCGAGATCAAGGCTTCATCGGGCATGATCACCATGCCATGTTCCCATGCAAAGTCCTTGGCACCTTCTCCAACCAAGAAGTTAGGGGGCACCCTTGACATGCCCAGCTGTACATTGGACTTGTCATAAATCTTCCGAGCAAGCATGATTGGATTCCTGATGTCTAGCCGGCTCACGTGTTAGGCAAGACTTTCTGAGCAAGAGACACAACAAACTTACTGGGCACAGCTCCAACCGCTCCATTCAGCCCATGATGATCGACAATTGAGGCATCGCCTTCAACAACCCCCTTTGCGTTCAAGTTGCTTCCAAACCCTGCATTTGTAATCGGGTTATCTTCAAGCACCATTATGGCTGCTTCGACGGCGTCAATGGCGGTGCCACCACTCTTTAAGAATGCCATGGCCTTGAGCGCGGCGCTAATTCAATTCACGTATTAGACTGTGCAACCATCAAATGAAAGACCGAGACTGACACTTCACAGGCTTTCAAATGCTTGTGCTCATTCTCGTGGCTGTGGAAGCCCGCCCCAGCATGAATGAATATGGCACAAACGCCCTCATTCCCGGAAGTTTGCGACATCTTGAAATGGTCAACAAGTGCAATTTAGGGATCTTCCACGGGATTGTGCACGATCGATCGAGGTATCAGGTCGAGGTCAAGAGAAGCGTTGCCGATTAGGCCCGAATATCCAAGGGGATATCACGAATCGGGTATGTCGAGAATACCAAGTTTGCCACGACGTCAAGCTAAAGTGAAGATATGGATGCGGCGCGCGAACTGGCAAAATCTTGGACGCGTCTGCAGTGTACTCGCAGATTGTTGGATCGAAATGCAGGTGCTCTTTGTGAGATCCTCACTTCAAATTGAAACGACTGACCGCCTATTTCCAGCCTAAAGAATCACTGGGAACCAATGCTGTAACGATATAGTAGACTTTGGGCACGGGGAGTGAAGCGAGAGAAGACAAGAGTCTACGGCGAGACCATCCGTGTCAAGGTAAGAGAAGAATACAGATAACGAAGGGCAGCACTATACGTGCCGTGCATCCGAAATGATAATCTTGGAATAATA